TGTCTCTCTCTTTCCCCTCTGACTAACGCTCTTTGTAGAAGTGCATGTGCACGAATCACGTTGCATGTTGCACGCTGAATGCCCTCAGTCATCCTTAAGTCGCTTGTCATCAATAACAAATGTTGCAATGTCGATATTAGCAGTAATCGCTGTCGCAACCATTGAAGCGTTGGAGTGTGTAGCGACTAGCAGCTGTTGCTTTGACTGTTGCTGTTGCTGTTGCTGCAGCTATTTGGTGTTCGTCAGGCGGACGTCTGGATCTGGCAACCTGCTGTGTGTTCGGGCGATGGGTGGAAAGTTGGCGGACTGGCTCTAGCAAGCCGGTTATGTGTTGCAGGGAGTATATTGTGGCATATTCCTGTTGATATTCGTCTGACGATGGTTTCGTGAAAATGTGAAGGAATTTGTGATGCGTCCACAGGTAGCTCAAGCTGACAGACACGCGATGAAAAGGAATATGTTATATTCTTTCGAAAATGACATTCCTTTGGATCGCATTCCTTTTGTCATTTCAAGGAAACCGTGGAAGGTGTGGGAAAATATGGGAAAGAAGTCCTTGTTACCCATTTTGCCGAAAATTAGGCATATCTTAGTGAGTATAGAAAGAGAGAGACTTAAAAAGGTAGCGGGGAATGAAGAACTTACATGGAGCCCGAAACTTTTACCTGACAGAGCATAATTTACTAGCTTTTAAGTGGCCCTGTATTAGTTCTAGTGATTCACTGAGGACTATAAATTAAACTAAATTAGTTCTAGGAACCACAAACTTGGTTCCAAGAAAAGACCTCATTTAGTACTGAACACTCTTAACATGCAAGGTGTGAGATGTATCTACTGCCACAGGGATATACATAACTTCTGCTCTGACAGCCTTCCCAACATGGAAATGCGAATATTCCCAGTACGGTAAGTAGCAACCAACCCGCGTGGAGCCTTTTGTCAGGGGTTAAAGAAAGTAGATTTTGGGCCTACGACCCAACAGGCTTCGGTTTTAAGTTAAGCGGCTTGCCAACCAAACAATCTGAGGTCGACACTTAATCGCGCAGTAAGGTTGTACGTTGGGCTTGGAACCTGGCTGGCATCCTACTTCTGATGACAACCACTGCAAACACTTAAAGGATAATTATTTAAGGATATGCATGTGGAATGTCCAGAGAGGGAAGGTTCCACTGCACGGCTGTTTTATTTTCTTAGTAGGCTAAAAGCTTATATCATCTTCGTTTAAGAGGAGTCATGCACGGGGTAAGAACAAAAGCACTTCGCTCTTTGCCGTATGTACTCAAGTGGCTTTATAAAGAAGATACAATTTCGGGAAGAGTTTGTATCTGAACAAAGACTCATAACATGCGATTAACTGCGCCAGATGAAATCGCTTTAACACATTTCTTCTTTGTGCTCACGGCTCGATGGAAGACAGGAATGTGACGTGTGAGAGCGACTGAACTTATGATCGATTATGTACGAACAGACTGACAATTCGACGCTATGCCCTCAGCTCCGCACTAAAATCGACGCAGATCACTTTCCTGCATCGGTTATTTACAACCAAGAAAGCCGCTCATCAAACAATCTAGCTCTCTGAGAGCACACATCAAAAACTCGTAGTCCGGGAACTTTGGAACGGTCGCCAAAGAGCTTTTGATTTTCCTCAGGCTTGGAAGAAAATCTGAATTGATGAGAATTGCAATGCATCAGAGGAGGACTGTCTACCTCACAACATTACAATCGATCACATTATGTGCTGCATGCGAGAAAACAAGGCGCAGTTTCAAGCATAAAAAGCGACAGGCGAGAATGAATATGCAAAAAATTGATTTAGCGACTGATATCCAGAGTATGCAGTCAGTCTGCTGGATGGCAGGGAAATTGAAATACCAGGCGAACTCATTTGCCCAATTCATGACTATGGAATTAACGTTGCCTTAGCTCACTGTGATGAATGCTCGTATAACGACTACCCGCGAGGAGAAAAATAGAGCAGGGAAAAAAATGTCTTATGTCATCACCTTACCCATTGATAAATATTACTTTTTTTTTTTAATCAGCTGGAAATTAATTTTTAATCGGCTTAGCACTAATTGAAAAACTTTTCGTGTCTCGTCAACAACCCTTGCTGCGTAGGAGTTCCAGAGTCTTGCTATGCTTAAGCATGCTTGTCGTAAGAGGCGACTAAAATCTAAAAGTTCACACGACAATCTGATCGTGACTGCAGCAACACTTTTTGAAAAGACTTCTTTGGGGAATATTTTCGCACCTACAGCAATAACAACAGGAAATTTAGCTCAGAATCTTTTGAGAAACGCTTCAGAACTACTTTGGAGTATAATGGATCAGCTCGGCACTAGTTTGTGGTTGTTGAAACTGTGACACTATGAGTGAATTATATCCTCAGCACTTTTGCATCAGCTCAATATAATTTTGAGCATATATAACACTGTGTTTATAAAAAATCTCTATATATTCTTCTACATCGATTTCGTCGCCTTCAAAATAGTCCCTTGCCGATGCAATGCACTTATGCCAACGCTTTTTCGAATTATAGAAGGATGTCAAATAGTCAAGTTCTGGTATGGCCTTTGGAGAGCGCGTCGATTCACGTTTAATATCCTCAATCGATTCAAGCCGGTGTCCTCGAAGAGGTCTCCCGAGTTTTGGGAAGAGCCAGTAGTCGCATGGTACTAAGTCAGGCGAATACTGTTGTTGGGGAACAATATTCGTGGAATTTTTAGCGAAACGATCACGGTGCTGCGTGCGACGGTGCATTGTCATGATGCAAAAACCAAAAATTGTTGGTCCTTAATTCTGGCCCTTCTTGCGCATAACGCTAAACTGATATTCCTTATTTACCCTTTGACCCGGCGGAAGGAATCCACGAAAAACGAAGAAAACAGTCAAAATGACCTTGATTTTTGAGCGACTTTGATGTGATTTTCTCGGTCTTGCCTCAACTTTAGCACGATATTCGCTTATATTGGTCCGTGCTTTCAGGGTCGTAGGCATAGATCCACGTCTCGTAATCATGCATTTCAGCATATCGAGATAGTCAGGAAGCATGATTTTAAACACATCCACGCGACGACTTTTTCCATGAAATTCATTGTTTTTGGAACCAAACGAGTTTTGACTTTTCGTAAGCCCAAATAGTCCTTCAAAATCCTTTTTCAGATCCTTCTAATTCTAACCTCATTAGTAAGGTCTCGAACAGTCAAGCGTTGATTTTTGAGCACTGGTACCTTAATTTCATTGACGTGTTGCACGTCAGTTGAAGTTTATGGTCGTCCCGAGTCGACTTATAGGCGTTCCTCTGCGACATAGTTAAATCCCCAAAGGGTTTCTGTGGCAACGTTTCCCACCGTTTCAGCAGCCGAAAATTCGTTCTGCCAAAAAAATTTGATCGCAATTCTTTGATCAATTAAATCTGACTTAATAAAAATCGCCGAAGGTGCAATAGGATGAAATTCGGCGTGGATATCAATAACAGTGCTACCTACATAAAAAAAAAGAATCAACCCGAAATATTAAACCCACGAAGTTCAAATTAAAAATTCATCTTACGTTTTGCCCGATATTTGACGCTTTGTAATCGCTGAAACGATTTTAGGCCGAGCTTCTCCCACAATTTGTGGTTTTTTTTTTGCGTCTTGATGTCTTTCCAACAAATTGAGGCATCCACAGTTTATGCTAAGCCGTCTCCGAACTGCTGATGATCTCTTTATGAGGAGCTTTTATTTCATGTCAGAAATACGCATGGAGGGGTTAACCTTCCCTGCCGAGGGGCAACCGCGACTAGAAAATTTAGCTTAATTTTTTATTAAAATTGTTTTGTTTTATAACTTTTGGTAAACGGAAAAAATTTATGAATTTTATGGGGCAAGAAATTTAAAATTTTGTCAAGAGCATTTAAGAGTAGCGGGTGATATTCGGGAACCAGTAGTTCAGCAACATACTCATGTAACCAACACACAAATTAATATAGACTTCAGATCTATTTGAGATGTAATTACGTATTGTATTTGGAATACAACAACTTTATAACTACTGGAAAATTTGTAACAGAATTTTCAACTACTTCAATAGTTCAAGACGTACCTAAGCTTGCTCGGAGTCTGGCCATTCGACATCATGCTGGTATTACTTCGAAAAGCTGGAAAAGCTCCACGAAAAAACAATTCATAGTATTGTAGTTTCGGTTCTGTTAGCACCACTCGAGCAATAGTAGTAGTTAAGAATAAGTTAGTCTCTAAGTTGAGACGAGTTTACGACCAGTTGGTGCTGGACTTTAATGAAAGATTTTTTTTTTTCTAAAACTCATGGGAAGCATATTTTTCACTGATAAGACGAAAATTGTTCAATGTATTTTGTTTGTACAATTTGTTGAGAAGGAGGGAAGAACAAGCAATCATATCATATGACAACTTCACATTCTGTTAATTCGCCTGGGCCCATTGACACTCACATATATAAACTGATCGACAGGCAAATCCATTTAAGTGTCCACTAACGAAAATCACGCGTGTTTGGCCACCGCAGACATAACTCGACACTATTTGCCCATAAACAGAGTGTTTGATTTATGTGTGCATGCAAGTACTTAAAATAGACAGTAAACAAGTAACAACCAATATTGAAATGTCAGGTGACGATGGCAATGACATTAACGGCCCACTGAATGGCCCAAAGTCAACCAAGCGGAACAATTAATCATTGCTTGCAACCGAAATATGCTAATGCATTGCCATGAAATTTACTGTTAAGCACATACATATACAACTGCATACTACAGTTGGCAGCAAAATTATTAAAACCACAGCAAAAAAAGTTTGTTTACTCTGCAGACGCATTGCTTGGTTGGGTAGCGTGGTGAGGCTTGTGGACGCTCAAAGGCATACAATGAGCGACTGCTACGCAGCATAGTTGGCTCATTGTCTATATTTCGCTATGAACATCTATGTATAAGTATGTGCATATATAGGTATTCATAAATCAAAGCTTAAACTTACCTTTCGCTCCTGCTCGTCCTTGGTCAGCTGCTGACCACCGCCAACGTTGTTGTTCTCTCCCTCGCCATCCAGTGGCGTTGGCGTTGTGGGTATATCACACTCCTCCGTCGGGGGTACAACGCAACGCAGTGAATGCCGATCGAATACCAACATAGCTGGACAACGTTGCAAGCGTGGATAACCACCTTGGCATTGCCAATAACGGTTGCATGATTTGCCCAATGGGACATTGCCGTTGGCGTCGTCATTGCAGAGAGCTAGATATATATATATTTGCGTGTATGTGTGTATATTTAGGTGCGGTGAGTTGAGGTGGAAAGAAAAACAAAAAGAAAAAGAAAAAATAATTACAAAAAAATGCAACACGCAACAAGGATAATAAGTGATGTTAAATGTGGCTTTAAGGATGGAGCGATGAGTAAAATTTAAAAATTGATCTTAAATCATTTAAGTTAGGCTATAATATGGGTGAGTAGGTAAGCGAACAGCCTCTGGAATCGACTTGGGGCTCGTGGAACCTCAATATCCTTTTTATCCCATTTCATAGTTGTAATCAAACCATTTACGTCAGCCATTCAAGGTTTGGTACGCGATGCATAATAAATGTTCTATATCTGCTCTCTGAGAGAGCTGGGCATTCAGAGAGACAATAGATAACGGTTTCTTTATTCCCTTTCATTACGCAGATGCGCCAATAAGTGTAATAGGACAAGCTCATTTTTTACGCATGTTCTCCTAATCGCCCATACCGCGGTCCCCGTAATACTGGTCACTAAACCAACACTCTATATGTAAGAGTTGGTCTGATTGCACCTGTATACATCCACATGACTATAATCGGTTTAAAGCACCAGTTCCTTTACGATTTTCAGTATTTATTTCCCAGTTTGGTATCGATCTCCATCCCTAGATATCTTTTTGTGGGGGGGCCAGAGAAATTTGTTATACCACTGAGTGAGATATTTTGATTTCACTCTTTAAGAGTGATCGTTTCCCTTTACTAGGGTCACACTATTATGGTTAAGTACAAATATCCGTTTTGACGGTAAGTAGATTTTGTACTCAGGAAATGATATTCTAAATATATCATAACTATATTAACTAATCAAAAGCAGAGAATCTCCCGACCAAAGCCATCTGTTAGCAAAGATTTCAATAAATTTAGTGTCATTCTTGATTATTCTAAGATCAGTTTGGCCAATTGGGTTCGGCAAGAGCTGATTTTTTTAAACTTGATAGCGTAGCCTCTGAGAACTTGAGAACTTGAGAACAGTGAGATTTGACGTGAACCCAAGTAATGGCGGTGTCATTTTTCTGTGCATAGAAGACAATGAGAGCATCGGACTCTCAAAAATAATTCTTTTTAAAAATGGTTAGAAGAAGTTGAAGGGATAATCCGAGAAAACGCAAGATAGCTGAGTATAGATCAGACAAAATTCCACCCTCAACGCAAACAGAAACACGCCATGTGATTCTCTTCGGGTTCCGGCGTAATCTACAGCCACTACAAATGGCTGCGAGCGATTGTACCATCTTTAAAGGCTATTTCTAAATGGTTTCGAAGATTATAGACAGGACATTTTTACTAAAAGAAACTTTCCTCAGTGCTCTATTGTCCAACACCTTCTAATATTTCTCTGCTTCTTATGGAAAACTTTCGCTCGCTATCTATTCTCCGAATGCTACCAGCAGAAGCTCAATTCAATTAATTATGCTCTGAAGGTATTTTAACAGAAAATACATCTCCTGTTGTTCGTTTCATGACTCAATTATTTGTACAGTCTGGCAAGACTGGCCCTTTGGAGAGCCTTCACCAAAAAGGACTCTGCATTCTACTTTTTCAAACATCTGGAATCAATCAGGTACCGAGCCTTCAATGGCTTTAATTTGTTTCATCAAGAACACCAGACGGCTTTAACATACTGATGGAACGTAATAGCAGGAATATTAAGACCTTGTTTGAGTCTGAAACCGCTAACAAGAACCGAGGCAGCACTTCCACACCAACCCACTTACCCTTCAGGCATATTTAAGAACAAATTCCCGAAGAATCAAGAACTGCCACTACCCGAACCAATATACCAATAGGTTATTCGGAGCCCAAAACTAACTCTGCCATGGCTTAGACAGACAAGTACAATGTTAACAAGAACCAACCGAACTCGGTTCTCGAAACTACTCAAATTGTAAACCTTCGAAAGAAGAAGATTTTCAGTGAAGCTACACAATTGTACAGTCTAGCCTTGTTCCTGTTGTGATTGTAGTTGTGTTAACTGTCGTGTTTCTTTGCTTACTCATGTGTGTTCATAGCGTTGGAAACGCATTTCCACTGATATCATTGCTTCAATTTCAATGGTTCATTGGAATGCCAAACAAATCTCAATTCAGCAAACAGGAGAGCCCAAGTTGTGGGTAAGTCTTCACTCGCTACTCTACAAACAGCAAAAGAGATATAGTAAGGCATGTACGAGTATCAATTAAGGTACTCATGTCTACTAATTTTTAAATTCTTTGAACGCTTTTCTCTGAATACTCTTATTTTGATAGCGAAGTCCCAGCGAAGTCAGGTGATGGCACTTTCTTACGACACATTGCGGCGTATCTGGCTTTAGCCCTTATACCTGCATCCACACAAGGTCGAGCTCACACAACAACTGAACCCAGCTGATCATTCGAAACGCCTTACATATGTCGATTGGGGGCTCGAACAACAAGCAAGCGACACCGAGACTGGCGGTGTCAAGACGAAGCGTTGTGGTCGTATCATAACCGACTTTATTTTCCCTGGAATTGATGAACTCAACATGGTAAATGTTTGATTTCATCAAAATGGTGCTACATTCCACACAAAACCAGCGAGCTTCGCTTTATTGGGAGAGAAATTTCTCAGCCGTGTAGTATTTCGTCTTGGCGCTGTCAATTAGCTACAGAGATAGTTCGATCTCACATCGTTGGACTTTTTTTGGTGGAACTGCGATTTTAGTAGAGCAAGTTATGTCTGGGATACCGCCCGAAAAGTGTCGAAAAGTGGTCGAAAATTACTTCGAACAGATCGAAGCCGGCGAAGTTATGACCATAAACAGCAACGTGGCAGCCGAGTCGCGTTTACGGTGACTGCTTGTGTAATGATTGGAGATATTTTGTCTTGCTCTCATTCAGTACTAGTCCCATATCCTTCGCTTCCTAGTTTAATCTGTAGAAAACACAACTCACGAAGCCAATAATATCCATATCATCGGCGTACGCCAGCAGCTGCACACTCTTATAGAAGATTGTACATTCTCTATTTAGCTCTGCTGCTATTAATATTTTCGGCATCATTGAATAAAAGGAATCACCTAGTCTGAAACCTCGTTTGATATTGAACGGCTCGGAAAGGTCCTGCCCGATCCTAACGGAGCTTTTACGAGGTCTAAAGCCGCACTGATAAGGTCCCATCAGATTGTTGACCCCATATGCGGTATTAAGGAGGTTTATCCCACGGTAATTGTCGCAGACAGTGGAATCACCCTTTTTGAGGATTGGACAGAATATACTTAGGTTCCAATCACCGAGCATAGTTTTATCCGAAGCAGTTTACTTCGCAAATTCTGGCCAAATATCGGAGGAACTTTCGAAAGTAGAAACTACACAAGAGTAGAGGAAATAATACCTTGTTTAATCTTTCAAAGCTTAGTTGCTTAACCTCGACACTATACCGATGATTATCGAGCTCTCTGGCTGCCCATGGTACAACTTCTTAAGGTCGATGGTAATGAGTAGTTCTCAGTACCTGATGGTAGCACTGAAAGATTAACAGCAGCAAAAGCTTTTGACAGGTCCGGGTCTACTAGGACAGTTCGGGCGCATAACTACCTTTGGTTAAGCCCATGAACTATCTGTACGCTTTAATTGCGCTTATGATGCAGTGACCTTTTTGGAAGCCATGCAGGGGGCTGATGTGCTCAAATGGTGTGTAAAAAACGAGAGCAGGAAGGCCTCATATGTCTTCCTTACTGGAGAGAGGAGAGGTATCGGCTGATATGATTGGTCTTTGTCGGCTAGTTTCCGCGGTTTTCGTAGTGGAACCACTTTTCACATTTCGGGTATTATTTCGGTTTTATTTGAGTTGCCAAAGTCAGTTTGAGGAACACCCTCTGGTTCCAGGTGTTTTAGCATTAAAATGCTTATTCCGTCGAGGGTGATAAATTCCTCAGCATCTTTCCTAAAGAAATCAAGCGCCGTACTGGTGTTTGATAGTTCACACATGCGGCCGACCAATTGTTGCTTCATTTGGTCTTACGAAGGCTGAGGTACAAAAAAATAGTCTAAAATGACTCGAGCACTTTCTTTTAAGAGCCCGATGAGGCCCGACAACCGAATGAAGTTTTCACATCGTCAATAGGGCAAGCCACGATTTGAATATGACCCTGAACCTGTTTGCCCCAGAGGAGAGGCTGCTCTGTTTTATTAAAAAAAAATGAGGACATTATTTTTTGTCGGTTAAAAAATTTAAATAAACATATGCCACCCTTAATTTGTTAACAACTACTTACGATGCTTCTGACAACCGTCCACATTTTCCGGCCAATCGCAGCTGTGAGCATTCTCATTGTACAAGAGACCTCCAATGCAAAGCTGTTCCGTAGCGGTGCCATTCCAACAAGTCCAATAACGTGTGCAGGATGTCTCATGACCAAAGATGCCATACAACCAGTCGCAATGTTCCGTCGAAATGGGACCATCTGCAAGGAAGGTGAAACAAAGAAAAAATGATAAAAGAAAGAAAAAAAATCAGATTTAGACTACATGTAGGTACAACTCTCAGTCTTGTGGAGGCGAAAGTTTATGGTATCAACACTTCACACCACACTACGCCAGCGATTCACATGCAAAGCCAACAGGGAGGGCAGCTGGCATTGCTAAGCGCTGTGTAGCCCCACCAACCAGCAGCTTCCGGTTTGGCAATTTTGCCTACATGACGCCAGCGGCTTAAACTTGTTACGGCTTTCGTTAATGAATTACCCACATGTAGATAATAGGCGGTGCCACTCGATGTTCTTACCGGGAACTTAAGCAAAGTGTGGACCTACAGTGCATTTAAATTGGTACTACAATGTTCCAACTTTCCTTACACGCCTTCCAATTCCAACCCATCGAGTACACCGTAAGATTTAATACTCTCATTGTTTGTGTCTTTGCTTGCTTGCTGTGCTCTGCGGTACTCATGTATTGGCTCTTCCACTGTGTTAAACTCGTTATTTTTCGGTATGTTTATATTTGTTGTTGTTGTGCTTGTACACATTTCACAGAAAAAGAAAGAATGCAAATGTGTGTGTGTGTTGATGAGATGTGAGAAATATACACCAAATATGTATGTGCATGTATGTGTTCCTCTGAGTTTTCCTCAGACTACCCAAACATTTCAGGCAGATTTGATGGTATGAATGTATTTATGTGTACGTATGCATGTGTGGGTGTGTAAGTAGAAGTTTCAAATGCATAAACAAAGTGAAAATTGAAAATTCAAAATCGGCATTTGTAAGCTGAAGGGCTCAACATGCTTTAAAACGATTTGAACTTTGATTTGATTTATTGTTAGGGCAACGAGTAAATGTGCACTGCAGCCGCCATAGAGTTTTGGAGAATTTAATTTCCATGTCGGTTGGTTGGCTTAGGGGAAGCCGGAGGAGCTAACATTCAACTGAATTTTAATTTTGAAATAAGCAAGCTGACTGGCTGGTCGGTTTCGGGCAGGAGCCTAAGGAGTTGCAGTTCTAGTTTTCTTGGTTGCTGTAAGTCGTGTTAGGTAACGTGAGATAGTTTCCCTAGATTTACAGGTGTCACACAGCACAAGCAGCCAAAAGGTTCCATTAAGTTGCAAACAAACCAAAAATTCATTCTGTTGATTGTTCGTAGTCTCTGTTAAGTGCTTGAAGCCACACGGGCTCTGATCCTGAACAGTCTAATTAGTTAGTTAGTTGAACAGCTTGGCGGATCACGGAACTCTAATCAATCACTGTTATTGGTGTTAATGCTGGACCCTAGATAGATAAAGCTATCTACGACCTCGAAGTGTTGACAGTCAACAAGAACGTGAGAGCCCAGCTGTTATCGTCCGGCAAGCTTACGTCCGACCATATTTTGCAAAATAGCTGAGGCATGTACCGCGTAAGCTTTTCATCGCCACGTTTGAATATCTCTGCCGGTAGCCAATCAGCTCCAGCAGCTTCTTAAAACGGGAAATCGTTTTGCTAACCTCGTTATAGTCGAGTAATGGAATGTCTTTTCCAACATCATCTCTTTAGGTACTGTATTTTCACTGTCATTCAGCAGGCTGGAGAAGTGTTCCGGTTACCAGGTTTTCTGTAAGACCTTTCACTTACCGGATAGAAGGTCTTTTAAACAGAATTGGTGCCCATATATGAGGCTGTCAACTGTCTCAGATCAGATGGCGGACGAGCTTGCAAGGAAGGACACTCCCCTTCCTCTTCGCCATCATGGCAGAGCTTGCAAAGGCCGCTTTCGCTTGTAAGCTCAATATAAGAAAGTTATTTATTCATTAATGAGGAACAATAGAAAGTCACGTGACCGTAACGACCTCAATAGGAAGGATATGTCTACAGTTATAGGTCTTCTTACAGGTTTTATCTTATTGGGCAGGCACGAACAGAGATTGGGTGCGCCATATAATAATTTCTGCAGAAGTTACAGCCAGGATTAGGCACCGGAAAGCTTACGGCTCTCTGCTTGCGAATGCATCGCACTTTGAAGGAGTAGGCTGAAAGCTCTAGGAACGGCAACCTTTGGAGACCTGAGCGAGATGCCGCAACTGCCCCATTTTGCAAAGACCCAAGTCATTGCGATTCTCAGTGGTATCACAATATATTCGTTTGCGGTCTAGGTATGCCACTTCAACCAACCAACCATCCTCCGGTCTTGCGAACTTCTTAGAACTTTCGAGCAATACCTTTGTCGCTCACCTTCTCAAGCTTTTAATGCTCACTTATTTTGGACTCTTTCTTTTTTCGTCTTACTATCCTATTCAGGTCGCGTTATCTCTCCCACCCGGTACGTATTGGGGTCGATCGCGAAGTTTCGAAGTGGACAATAGGTTTTCAACCCACTGCAACATTCCTCATTGGGCACATAACGGCGGTACGTAGGGACTATAAGATGCAGTTCGAGCTGCTGATGAGTGCTCTCAGAAAACAGGTGTGCAAGCCGAGTAGAAACCAGCTCGGCAATATGCTTTGATTACAACTTTATGACGTGGAACCCTCCTTGTGTTTGTTGACGGGCTCTTGAGCGGTAGTCCTTAAATGCATGTTCAATGAGCTCAGCTCACGGAGCTTTTTATAACACTGTTTTAATCCTCAGTTATCAACAAATGTAACCCGCATAAAATCACTGGTTTTTGGCTGTGGTGGTGGTGGTGGTGGTGGCTAACTGTAAGCCAGAATGAAATACACCAACCTCCCCGCAAACTGCAAATACAGCCCCATTGACACATTTCAATTACCCCAACTCGGCGTTGAGTACTACCATTACCAGAGCGTACAAATAATAACTGTTAATATTTGCAAACATTTGCAAACACACACACACATATATATATATATATATATTGATAGGATGCCATGAAAACATAACAAAGGCCGAACGCCCACTGAACTATCAACAGAGCTTTACTCGCGTGTTTTCTAAAGCTTTGTGTTGGCGAACTTACCCTCACACACACACACACATATACGCACGCACGTCCGCAGAGCCGCAATTAGTCCAACTATGCCACAATAAAATTCTCTAATATGCAAAACTGGTAAAACTATACGAAATTGTCGCTGCGGTTTTGAAGCGCGTAAAAAGTTTGCAACGTGCAACATACATATATATACATACTTAGGTAAATATGAATGTGTACTTGTTTTTCAGTGTGCAAAAGTACGTGTTTCCCACGTACACTTACCATCGCCACTAACGGCGTGCCACACCGGTGCACAAATAGTTGTGCCTCTCAGCGCTATTCACAGCGTTAGTTGCCACTAAACGATGACGTGCACAAGCGCATACTCATAGAGACATACATACATACATACATACATACACAGATGCATATGAAATACCAATGAAACCATTAAAATTGGAATCCACACCGGAAAAACGCACACATGCAGCCGTATTGCGACCACAATCGATAGCCGGTACATTTGTCTTGCATACATATGTACATATATGTATGTACATATATACAAGCATTTTTTTTGTTAGGGTATGGTGAATTTCTGGTCAATGGTTGATTTACCAGGTGGATTAGGCAGAGCAAACTGAAGTGCCAATTGGTAGCGTATGTCCGACCCTATTTCATAAAGAACCGGATGCACGCATCTTATCAGTTCACCGCCCCCGAAATTTACTTACTTACACACTTCACTGGCGTAGACACCGCTTCCGCGATTATAGCCGGCTTAACAACATCGCGCAATCATTTTTTCTCTGTTTGGCGCCAGTTGGAGATACCAAGTAGAGCCGTGTCCCTCTCTACCTGATCTTTCCATCGGAGTGGATGTCTTCCTCTTCCTCTGCTTTCAACGGTGGGTACTGCATCGAAAACTTTCAGAGTTGAAGTATTCTTAGCCATGCGAACCACATGACATAGTCAGCTTAGCCACGGTTTCGTCGTTTATCTCATACAGCTCAACGTTTCATCGGGTGTGGTATTCACCTTTCCCAACCTTTCTCTCACAAACTTTTAACAGCGAGGGACTTGTAGTTTGGTTTTCGTTTACTCGAGCTTTTCTTTGATTGAATAAAACTAATTTCTTGTATGAATAAACGATCTCAAAAGGTTTGCTTCGATCCCACGTCAACCCGCTCGTTCCGTGCCTCGATTATCAACAGCTCCACTCCACACATGAGGTTGCGTACGGACGTCAGTCTTGCGGCTATCTGCTCACTATATAAATGTCACTAACGCTGTCGTTCTTAGAGTAGGCACGTTGCTTCCTCCAGGGGCTGATTTGAGGGGGTTTCCTGGCGTTTTTACAAAAGATGTCGAGCAATCTTTTAAACTTATTTAATTTAAGCGAAGTAAAACCGATGGGCAGGCAGTACTTTGGACTCAAGCAACTGATCCTGCCTCCTCTTAAAGGAATATCTCTTTATCTCGCGCTCGTCTATGGAAAATATTATATAAGCTGCATGCACGCTGGGTTTGTATTGTGGATTAGTCGTGACTTGGGGATGGGATGTCTCTAACCTTCTGCAGTTAAGGGGCGAAAATACCGAAATCACTGGCTTTTGGGTAGTGTTAGGAACGAATGAGCTCTTGCAAAAACTTTACTGAGCCGGTTTCCTACTAACTTTTCATCGATCTCACCGCGAAAAGTTTTCTTAGACAACTTTTGAGACTTTCTGGCAGTTTTTTTTTTTTCTTTTTAATGAGTTTCTGATGGCTTCAAAAGAGTTTGGTGGTAGAGAGCAACTCGTTATTTGTGTTCCATAAATTTTCTTAACTTCACAAATTTCACTACATGAAGCCTTGGCGCTACGGTGACAAGGCCTGCTATTTGATCCTTTTTAAACGATGAGGCGAGCTCACCGATATAAACCGCCCTTATGCTAGACGAGTTCGCTTTATCTAACCTTAGTTAGTTACAAATAAAAACCGAGAAATTTTTTATTAAAAAAAAATTGAAATTTTTTTTAAACTCATAAGCAAACAAAAAAATCCATAAACACTGCAAAATTTAAAATCATCATTGCAATAAGCGACCACCCTAATAAATACCTACAGGTGTCACGCTATTAACGACCTATGCCCGCATCAATTGCACATTGCCTTGTCACATTTAGCCAATTGTGGTAAGTTGTATGTTGCAACACGCAGCATAACACGACGTGCAACTTGCATACAACTTACACATACATACAAACACATATAAGCTCAGACGTGTACAATAACAATGTAGCCCAAAAAACTTTTAATAAGCAGAATAGTCGTCACCGGTGCAACTCTGCACACGTGGCGGGGTGTGTGGCATAAAGGCAAACAGCATGCCACACAATGGTGCTCAAATGACGCGTGTTGCAAGTGAATGAAATGGCCGTGCGCCATCTGTTGCAAGAGAGTTTGTGGAAAAGTGGCGAAATATGTTTGGGTGTGTGTGTGTGTGTTTGTGTGTGTGTGTGTGTGTGCGTTTGTAAATGTGTCGACCTCTGTCAACCACAACAGCGTCAACAGTAAACATAAAATTTCAACCGAAAATAACAACATAGCAACAACAACAAGCTGTTATTCTCGTAGCTACCACTCGCAGAAACTGTCCCTTCTACTATTTTCTTCATTTTACTCCCCACCCCCCATCATCACATCCCGGTACTCACTCGCTAATTGCTTGCCCTCGCAATAGTTGGCGCGCCACGGATAATCACAGCCTTCCGTGACGCCACGATGCTTCCCGGCAAAGACCAGTCCATTGGGGCAATCGTAAAGCTCTGGCTGATTGCTAACACACTCCCAATAACGGTCGCAATAGACTTCATCGCCAACCACTCGTCCTTTCACCTTGCACGGATCCTCTTGGTTTCCCTTCAACTGTTGGCCAGACACGCCGCTAACTGTAAATAGAGAGAGAGAGAGAGAAAAAACAAAGAGGTTAAGATAATTGTAACTGATTGGAGGTAGATTGAGAGAGAGGGAGAGGGAGAAGAGGAGAGTGTAATAAAATACAACGGTTACAAGTCGCGATGGCAGGTATTGTGCCAAAAATATTTGGAGCGTCCAAATGGTCGGTTGTATTGCTTTTTGTTCGAGTGCAGGATGTTGTCAGTGGTGGCTTGTGCTTACATACGAACACCTGAATGTCCTCCCATGAATATTTGTTGTATCATTCTGTGTCATGGTGGTCGTTTTGGTTTTGTATACTCAGTCAATATTCTGGTTTGGCATATTTGTGGTCAAATTCTTTTGTGTTTTCGTGTGTTTAATTCGAATTAGTTCTTCGCATGCCTTGATGAAAGCATTCAAATATAAATTTTGCTTAAGATTGCTAATAAGCTCAAATACTCCACGAACATGCATATAAGACGACATATTTTAATAAAAAAAAAGGTCAACGATAAGGTCATGTTTACTTTGTAATGTAAAAAGGATTAAAATTCGACCATATGAACCTGGCATATCCGATAACTTAATTGAGAAGGTGTGGCTGCTGAGCTGGTGGATCGCCTCACTGCAACTTAGACTGTGTTCACCGCCTTCAAAAAGTTGGCATGTGCTGGAAGCATAAAGTCGTGTTCAATTTGTTTGGAAAGTAGATCACTATCATTATCTCGAAGAGTGAACTTGTTTCCTCAAGATATCACTCCCACAGCGTTATGGCCTTCAGTTTGTATCAAAGTTATACTCACAGTGATGGCGAAACCGGAACTCCAAACGATGACGATGTAATAGATTTTACGTCACCTATCCCGCCTGGATTGGCCAGGCCAATGCTTGACTAACTGAACTATTCAGATTAGGTGACAAATAATAGTTTTTATGAACAAGCACCAGCTACCACTTTGTGAAAGTTGATCGATAGATGGAAACATGATAATTAGCATCTAAGTGTAGTCTGCTCAATCCCTGAAATGTTGGATATCACAGCGTGTTTCAGTTAACGAGGCTTGAAACTCCGCAATATCGTGTAAAAGCTCCTATCGTGCAACAACCTCAATAATAAAACCGATCTGGTCTTATAAGTGTGGCTATAGACCATAAGAAAAGGATCGACGCACAAACTCTGCTTTCTTTATATTTTAGCAGCGTCGAACGCTGACGTTGGCACGATGACTGGCCGTTGAATACGGCACACGTTCAAATAGATGAGTGAATTAAGTGGCATCAGCTGATGACGCCGTTTCGTTGGTATGGATGAGAGCACTTCGAAAGTATTCGATAAAGCGTCCCCTGGTGGAAAATAGGGAGAGAAAGACCTAACCTCGTTGAAGAAATCAGGTGGAGCAGGACTTGGCTTAGCTTGGTAGCACACCAATTAAGAAGAAAGAGAGGAATATGCGAGTATATATAAAAATTGTACATCCATAAAGAAAAAATCTTCAATAATTATATTTTTTTTAACATCTTAAAATTTCTTGTTTGATTAAATAATTATTTTCTATTTCATCTCACTTCATTTCATTTTTTTATGGTATTCTATATTATTTTAGTTACTTTTGTTTATATTAATATTTTTTATTTTATTTTATTTTATGTTACTTTAATTTATTAATTTATTTTATTTTATTTTGATTAATTTGTTTTTTTTTTATTTTAATTTATTTTGTTAAATTTATTTTAGTTTATTTTATTTTGTTTTTTATGGTCTTTTATGTTATTATTTTACTTATATTATTATTTTATTTTAATTAATTTTCTCTTATTTTATTTTATTTTATTTAGTTTAATTTATTTTATTTTACTTTAATTAATTTATTTTATATTTTTTTTAATTTATTCTCGTTTTATGGATAAGTGCATAAGTTCGTGCCCGATTTCAAGTGCAAACTAAAATTGAAGTTTTTTGAAGAAAGCGCTTTTATTAATCTATTATGTATTCGCCATCATGTTCGGTAATCCACTCCCAACGTTCAACCAATTTACGGATGCCTGATTCATAGAAATCGCGCGGTTTCTCGTTGAAAAAGGTGTCAAGGTGGTTTTTGACGTCTTCCACATTTTTAAATTTTTTTCCATTCAAATTGTTCTGCAGCGATCGAAACAAATGATAATCAGAAGGTGCAATGTCGGGTGAATATGGGGGATGCGGCATGATTTCCCAATTCATCTCCTTCAGTTTGGCCAGGGTCGGTTTTGCAACATGTGGCCTGGCGTTGTCATGATGGAAAAGAACTCCTTTGCGATTGGCCAAAATCGGACGTTTTTCATCAATTGCTTTCTTCAATTCGACCAATTGCTGACAATACTTGTTGGCAGTGATCGTTTCTCCAGCTGGCAAGAGCTCAAAATAGATCACGCCTCGGATATCCCACCAAATGCACAGCAGTACCTTCATCGGATGCAATCCACCTTTCGACATCGGTTCCGCCCCTTCGTGTGCCTGTTTCCATGTTCTTTTGCGTTGAACATTGTTGTACAGGATCCATTTTTCATCACCAGTCACGAGCCGATCCAAAAAAGGTTCGTTTTTGATCCGTCGAAGCAAAGAAATTGCTGTTGACATACGGTCCACTTTGTTTTTTTCACTCAACTGATGTGGCACCCATGTATCGAGCTTCAAAGTGTACCCAACCTTTTTTAAACGACGAAACGCAGTTGATTTGTTGACGTTCAATTCACTGGCAACCTCTTCCGTCGAAATACGTGAGTTATTCGCAACTAAAGTCCTTAGAACATCGTCATCAAGCTCAGAAGGCCGTCCACTGCGAGGTTGATCTTCGAGGTTAAAATCTCCAGAACGAAATTTCGCGAACCATTTCTTTACTGTGCGGAGTGCTGGAGCACGGTCCAAATAAACTTCGCGAATATCTTTAGTTGCAGCGCCTACTGTTTTTCCTTTGCGGAATTCGTATAACATAATATGACGCATATGATCTTTTTCGTTGTCCATCTGCCATGCGTGTTTTCACTAAGTAACTCAAATCAAAATGAAGTTATTTTATGCTTCATTTACAGTTCGGACTGTCACCTTTCCAACGATATATAATATGAATATATTTCTTTCACGAGCGCCACTCTCAACCGATTCGATCCAGCGGAATCGGGCACGAACTTATGCACTCATCAATATATTTATATCATATTTTTTGATTTTTTTTTATATTTTGCTATCTTATTTTATATTATTTCATTTTATTATTTTTATTGTTTTAACATATATAAAAATTCATTTAATTTAATGTGTTTTCGTTTTATACTACTTATTCAATTTAAATATTTCATTTTCCGTTTACTTTTAGTTTACTGTTTACTCAAGTTTTTTATTTTTCTTAAATTTTTTTTTGTATTATTTTATTCATGTAATATTTTTACTTTTATTATTTAAATAATTTTTATTTATATTCTCTCTCTTTGCTGTTTAATTTAAGTTTTTTTGTTTAGGTTAACTTTTTTTTTTTTTTATTTTTTTATTTTTTTGTTCAATTCTTATTTCATATATCGTTTTCTTTCTTTTTTTTCATTTTATTATATTTAATAAACATGCTTAAACAAAGAAGTAGCTCGCGGCTGTTGCTAAGCATATGTATGTTGGTATAGGTGTTGCTTATAATTGTAGATTATTAAATTACACTGTTCGGCATAAATTTTCACACGCCCACCATGATAGCTACCAATTTCCGCATTAAAATAGTTACCTTGTGCTCACCTCACTTACTATCATGCATATATACATATGTATTAAGGACACAACGAGACGGAATTAACAATGTAAAATTGGCTTACGGCCTCATATGATAGATACAGTGACATGCATACATACGTATGTGTATGTGTATATCTATTGTGTATGTGGGAGAGCATTAAAATCGGCGTGTAACACGCAAACCGCCAAATACCGCTGGGCACTCTTTATTTGGCTAGAAGGGTGAAGGTTGGAGGTGAATGAGGAATGAAGGTAATAAACTAGTGGAATTGTTGTTGTTATTATATTTATCGCCCACTGGTCGCAGTGGTAAAGTAAAACTTAAATGTCCGCAATAAAAGTTTTATCACCAGAGTTCTTTAAATATTAACGACACTACAGGAGTAGTAAATAACATTCAGGAAAAAGAGGAAGAAGTACTTAGACATATGCACACGTGTGCTAAGCACTATCATATATATGAATATAACAGTATAAACAATAAGTAGGCAGTGTATTTCCAAGGAAGCACATCAAACTCGCCACTGTGGCGTAATAAAACTAAAGCACTGTCACAGGCTCTGCTTTTATTAGCTCAAGATTGGCCGATGAGCCAAGCAACTTTGGCATCGGTGACTTTCTTTTGTTTTTAATGCTTTGCTAGACATGGTCATAATTGTGATTATGTTGCGCCACATGGGTGATTCACGCGAATTATAGCAGTTGATGGCGAGTAGTTCTTTGATAATTTTTTATACCTTTTTCACTTTGATTTTCTTTTTTGTGCTTAACTCTGAGTAATGTAAACTTTGAGTGGATAAAAAAATTTTGCTAAGCAAGGAAATCTTCTAAAGCCTCTTTTGGGACACCAAAATAATTTGTGGAATAAATAAAGTTAAGAGGTAGCAGGTGAGAGAGCACATGAGGGAGGAAGTAAAGAAGGAAGTAAGGAGTAAGTTTTTCGAGAAACTTTTAAGATTTAAGCCGAGGCTTCCCAGTGATTCAGACTGGCGTCATAAAAAAATCTAGTAATACCTGTAGGAAATGGTAGCCTACTGAAATTATTTAACTAAGTCTTTCTATGTCTCTTCATTTCGTGCATTATGAAAGACCTTCATATACATATTTCGAAATTTCAATATGAACATATACTTATATATATATATATACATTTAATTGGCGTTTTGTAACCACTAAAGCGATTTTCGGCCGAGTTCCTTCTCCAATTTCTGATACCAACCAAAGCTTCCTTTAACTTTATGCAACCATATGTAG